TCATTTTGGTCTGGATCTGTGATTTAATTAGTGTGAAGGGAAAATTCCCATTTTGGAAAGTCCTTTCACTGATGAAGAGCAGCAACTCATTGTCTTATAGTCCGACACTGAGAAATTAAGTGCTTTGCCCATGGTCACATCATCGAGTATGTGTCAGAAGCAGGATTTGAACTCAGTCCAATGCTGGACTTCTAGCCACCGCGCTTCCTCTTGCTAAAAGTGTTAGTGTTAGCAAAAAAAAAAAAGACAAGAAAAATATATTTAGGGACTAGGCATAGAAAAAGAGGAAGTTAAATGATCTCTAGTTGCAAATAGTAGGATGGTTAATCCCAGAGATTCAACAAAAAGTTATCCTAAGCAATGAAAAGTTTCATAAAAGTCACAGGATATAAAAAAATCCCAAAGGAGGTAGACTGAATCGCACAATCTGTTTTGTTTTGTTTTTGTTAAACATTCAGCTAGTTCACATCTGATTTATCAGCAGACATCCTTGGCTAGAAACCTGTGGTCCTACTCCTGGTTTCCCACTTTCATTTCTGCCCCTGGACCTTGGCATTTATGAAAAACTGGTTCCCAAACTGTTTTGGCTTGGGATTTAAGCTCCTGCTTAATCCTGGTTTGGGCCCACCTCCTTTCTCTAGGAAGGTTCTTCCTGGTCAGGCACAGTGACTTTCTGGACCACTGGCTGGTGCAGGAGTTGATCCTGTGAGGAATTTCAAATTCCGGGTAGGTCTCCTGCATCCAGCCCTGCATGGTTCTCCAGAGATCAAGGAAGATGCTGCGACCTTTGGAGGGTCTGTGGCTCTGGCCATGCTCAGATACTTGGACAATCTGATCCACTAAACTGCCAAAATAATATTTCTAATCCATTTCCCTGCTCCAAAAACTTCCATTAAGCCCTTATTGCCTCTTAAAATGTAAACTTCTAAGCTTATTGATGAAGGCCTTCTGCAATCCGACACCAATTTACTTTTACAATTCTTTTCCATATTCTGTTACTAGACTATCAGAACTGCTAGCAGCTCTCTGAATTTAACACTCTATATCCTGGTTCATTGCATTCTCATGAGTGGGTCCTCCATACCTGGAATTTATTCCCCCTCCTTATCTCCGTTCAAGGCTCAGCTCAGGGGCTGCCTCCTGGGGAAGGGTCGAGGGTACTGAAAAGGGCTTTCCTGAGATCTCCAATTGTTAATGACCTTGCCCTCCTCTGGCTTTCCTGGAACCCTTTGAGTACCTATCCCCATCGTTCTGTTTTGTTTAACTTTCACATCACCAGCTCACTCCCGATATGAAGGACCTTTGTTTACTTTGGTTTTTCTTAATAGTATTTTTTTCCCCTAATTACATGTCAAGGCAATTTCAGCATTCATTTTTACAAGATTTCAAGTTTCAAATTTTCTCCCCCCCCCCCTTCCTGTTAGGGATCTGTAAGGATGTAGAGGGCCACAGGCTGTTCATGAGGTCTCACTGATGGGCCCCTCTCAGGTGCTGATCTTTGAGCAAAGGTCGCCTGGCTTGGTGCTCCATTGTGTGGATCTGTAACAATCTTTAACTCCCCTAGTTATTGTATGGTCATTAGCAGTCTTTTCTGGGATCGGAGTCAGATAAGTGCACAGGATGTGCATGCACTGTCCTTAGCACAGCATGAGCTCTACGTCATTGTAACTTGATAAGAAGTTCCTGTTACTTTACTACTTAAGTGAATGCTTTGCAGAAATTAAAGTCCGTATTGCCTCTTAAAATGTAAACTTCCAAGCTTGTTGATGAAGGCCTTCTGCAATCCGGCATCCAGAGTTGCTTCCATCCTGCCTCCCGCCTCATCGCTGCACATTCGAGATAGAAAATCAAGCTGGTCTTGATTCATCAGGTGATTGGGAAATCCTAGACCTTAGGTAGGCTCTATAGCCAAGTGAATTAGTTGTGCACAACATCTTCCTAAAATGGTAGGCAATTTGATACATGTTATACATGTGCTATCATGTAAAATGTATTTCCATATTAGTCACAATGGTAAAAGAAGAAATAAATCAAAAGGGTGAAAAAACACAAAAAAGAATAAAGTGAAAAAAGTATGCTTTGATCTGCATTCAGAGTCCCTTAGTTCTTTATCTGGATGTGGATAGCATTTTACTTTTTGAGTCCTTTATGCTTGGCTTGGATCATTGCGTTGCCGAGAGGAGCTGAATCATTCATAGCTGATCATTACACAGTGTTGCTGATACTTTGTACATACAATGCTTTCCTGGTTCTGCTCATTTCACTTTGCATCCGTTTGTACAAGTCTTCCATTTGGTGTTTCTGGGCTTGAGACAACTTCCCATTTTTCTTTGGTGTTTTGACATTGTTGTCCTTTTCTGAGTTTGTGTCTTGATCTTCCCTGTCACCACAATTACTTTCTACTGTTGTTGTTTTGCTCATCTTTTTTTTTTCTTGGCATTTTTCCTTTTTTAAAAATGTGAGCTCTGCTTGCAGGGTGGAAGGGGCACTATTTCAGGCTTTTTGGCGAGCGGCTGTAGGCCCCGGCTATTTCCCTTGTGCCTGATGTTGCCCTGAAGCCCACAGGGGACCCTTGTGTCTGGTGCTTTGCTGAAGGGGTGATGCTGCTGGAGGCCATAGGGGTCTGGCAGCTTACCCGGTGCTGAGCTGGGGTCCTAGTGCTGGTGTCTGTCCTGTGCTGAGGCTGGTGGGCTGTTTTTACATTTCCCCAGGGCTACACTGAAGCGCTAGGTGGTCTGGCAGCTGGTGGATGTCTGTTTGCCCAGGGCTCTGCAAAAGCATGTGATGGTTCTTGGAGCTGGAGCCTGCCCATTCCCCCGGCTATGCTGAGGTATGTGTGTGTGTTGGGGGGGTGGGTCCCAGTGTTGCCATTTGCCTGTTCCACCACACAGGGGTTTAAGATTTCTCACTGGTTTACTGAGGCGTGGCTTGCTAAGATACTTTCTGTTCTGGACTGCACTCCCCTTTTACCCAAGTGGGATATATCTTTTCTGTTGATCTTCTAAGTTTCTTGGGCCAAAAGATTGTTTCACCCTGTCTTTTTTTGCTGGTTCTGCTGTTCTAGGATTTGTTTGGAGGCTTTATTTTATGGTTATTTGGAGGTGAATATAGGAGAGTTATGGCAATTTATTGCTTACTCCACCATCTTGGCACCTGGAAGTCTCTAGTTTAAAGAGAACGGTTTTGAGGGAGTGAAGATAATGGCAGAAGCCAGATCATAAGAGGTTTAAAAGTGACAGAAGAGGAGAGGGATGCAATGAGTATTGATAGCTTTGGGGACCTTTCCATCTATCTCTGGCTGAATAGAGATAACTGAATTGACTTACCAATGGCCTCCTGAGAATAAAAGCTCAGCCCAGTAATGGAGTCTCTGGTTCAAAGGATACGGATATTTTAGTTACTTTATCTGCATAATTCCAAATTGCTTTTCAAAATGGTAGTGCCATTTTGTAGCTCCACCAACAATAAATTAGTGTGCCTATCTTCCCACATCCCCTCCAACATCGACTATTACCATTTTTGGGGGGGTCATTTTTGCTAATTTGCAGGGTGTGAGCACAATCTTGGGGTTGCTTTGATTGCATTTCTCTTATCATTAGGGATTTGGAACATTTTTTCATGTTATTGAGAATATTTTGAAGTTCTTTTGAAAACTTTTAATTCATATCCTTTGACCATTTATTTACTGGGAATTAGTTATTAGTTACATATGTGTGTATAAATGTCTATCTATCTATCTATCTATCTATCTATCTATCTATCTATCTATCTATCTATCTCTACCTGTACCTATCTCTCTATCTCTGTATTTATCTATCCATCCATCTATGATACCAAATCCCTATGAAAGAAACTTGACATGAAGATTTTCCCCCCATTCAACCCCTTCCCTTCTTATCCTAGGCGCATTAATTTTGTCTATGCAGGTTTTCAGTTTTAAGTAATCAAAAGTCATCTATTTTATCTTTTCTAATTGCCTCTCTCTCTTGTTTTTCACCTGAAGCTGTGAGATACATATGATCTGTTTCTCTTCTATTTTTTATACCAATTTTTAATATTAAGGTCATGTATTCATTGTGGAAGATGATGTGAAGAGTTGGTCTAAGTTACATTTCTGCCACGTTTTCTGAGCCGTTTTTATGAAACAGGAAGTTTTCTCCTAGGTGACTTCTATTTCTCCACTTTAACCAAACACTGGGATATTGAGTTCTATTGTTCCTGAATCTCTGCATATCAATAATGCATTGATTGACAAATCCAACAGCCTCTTCTTGGTCCTGATCCTTTTTTGACCTCTCTTTAGTTTGATGCTGTTGTCCATCTTCCCTCCCGGATATTCTCCCCTTTCTGGGGCAGTTAGGTGGTACAGTAAATACTGTGTCAGGCCTAGAGTCAGGAAGACTCGAGTTCAAATGTGACTTCAGATACTTTACTAGCTATGTGACCTTGGGCAAGTCACTTAATATTTGCCTCAGTTTCTCCATCTGTAAAATGGGGATAATAATAGCACTTACCTTCCAGGGTTGTTGTGAGGATCAAATGAGATAATAATTGTAAAGAGCTTAACATGGTGCCTGGCACATAGTAGGAACTATATAAATGCTATTATTATTATTATCATTTTCAAGACACTGCTCTATGCTGGCTCTCCTACTGGTCTGACCCCTGTTTCTCAGGTTCCTTTGCTGGATCATCACCCATATCCCACCCCCTTTACCATGGGGGTACCCAAACACTGGATCCCGGGACCCCCTCTCTTTTCTAATAACATCTCTATACACATAACTCCCAAATCTATAGATCTGACCCCTGTCTCTCTTCTGAGTTCCAGTTCCATGTCACCACTGTCTATTGAACATTCCCACCAGGACATCCCACAGGCATTTAACGCTCAACATTTCCTCCCAAACCCACCTGTCTTACTAACACTTGTCCATCTCCCTCTCTCTACTTACACAGCTGCAACCATAGTCCGGGTCATCGTCACATCTTACCTAGACTATTGCAGTAGTCTCTCACTTGGTTTCCTCATGTCCAGGCTTCCTGACCTTCCTGCCTCCTGGCATTTTCTTCTCCAATGTCTTCCCTGTGGCTGCCAAGCTAACCTTCCTAAAGTCACAGATCTGACCCCTCCATTCTTCTCAAATGTCTCCACTGCTTGTTGAGGCAGGGACTGCTTTGTGTCTGGTACACAGTAGGTGCTTAATACATGCTTGTTGCTTGATTGATATTAGAAGTCGGATACTTCACATGGCAGGTCAGAAGCAGATCTGTGGAAACATATTTTATTGATATAACTTTCATAAGCAACCTTAAAGCAATCAGTTACATTCAACTCCACAAGTATGAGTTGTATTTAAAGAGTCAGTTCATGATAAAAATCATCCTCCGCACCTCCTTATGTTAAGCACACATACCTGCTAAAATGGGAGAGGAGACACATGTCTGAGAGGTAACACTGATTTTTTTAAGCCTCATTCAGAAAACAAGCACGACTGTGAAGCAACGTGATGTCCCTTTGCTGGAGTTGGCAACAAGGTCCCTGTGCACCAATTCTCTAGTACTTATTTAAAATGGAACAGGAAGAACACTCAACACGGTGGGCTATAAAAATGACATGGGAAATGGCTACGTTTTCCTCCGCAACAAATTAAAACCTGAGCCAGGAGGAAGCCAGGAGAGCCTGAAGTTCTGTCTAATCTGGGAAACCATCCTTCTCTCCCCCAAGTTCTGTAATGAAGAAAAGAGGAGGAATGCACATGGTGGATACACGTCTCTGTCAAGGCACCAGGCTCTACATTGGACCATTAATCCCACTGCCTAAAGGTACAACTTCCAATCTCTGGCTTCACAGTCTCCCAAACACAAGACTTCTTCTCTTCCATCCCTCAGGGGAAGCTTCCTATTGGAGCTAGGAAAAGCAAAAGACCATGAGGGCACAATTGCCATTTGAAGTCTAAACACGAATTTATCGTGTTTCTCTCTACTTATCCCAGAGTCGTATCCCTATAATTCAAAGGCCTACGATTCTAGAGACTGCGAAGAACAGGGTCCCCTTAGAGAAATCCCTTCCTATCCTTGGAAGCTGAGCCCCACCCTGAAATGTGTCCAAGCCCGGGGGCCACTGCCCAGAGGGGCCTCTCAACCAATCACAAATTATGTCACATGACTATCCCTCAGGAAATCCAGCAGAAGCAGGAGGGCCAGCCAATGGATGTTTATCAAGTGTCAACTGTGTAAATGAGCCGCCCCCATCCCCCCACCCCACCCCAGTGGCTTTGGTCATTTCCTGTGAGAAGTGAGCAAAGGAAAAGGCAGAGAAGCCTTCAAAGTAGGAGGACAAGAGGGTCACTGACCCAGAGCTGGAAGGGATCTCAGAGGCTGAATGAGTCCAATGGTCTTGTCTGACAAAGGAGTAAACTGAGGCACAGAGAGACCACAAGAGTGGAGATTGAAAGCCAGAAGACTCCCTATTCTACATACGATGGGACCAAGGCCCACAGAGATTTGAGCAGAAGAGTCAGGGTTCAAACCGCAGTGATCTGTCTGTCTCGGTCCTGGCAGTACAGAAATAGAATAGAAATCCCCACTTTTCAGCAGCTGTCCCTCAGCTGGCTCTCACACTGGAGAGGTCTCGGACCAACACTGTGCTTAACATTTTGTATAGGTGACCCTTTGCATTGACAGAGGGACGCTTCATGTCCTGAGACCTACCAGCACTACTCTGCCCTCATCTCAGGTGGCAAGACAGGAGGGGTGGGGATGGAGGAATGACATGAGGAAGGCTTCCCCAAGCTCCCACTTTGTTCCCTCTTCCTGGAGGACAGGATTTGGGAGAAGGGACATTAGTGACAGCAATGAAAGTCACAAAATGAAGGGATAAAGGAAAGGGCAAAGCTCCCTTAAAGGAACCAAGGATGGAGCACACAGGAGAATACAGATGTGAGAAGATGAAGGCATCACGTAAAGAAGCTCTCTTTTCTCCACTGCTCTGAGCAGAAGGGAAGGAAGAAACACTGATTTAGAAGTTGAAAGCATGGTGGAAGAAAGCCATGCCTGATGGTATCAGCTGCTGCTACCAGCCCCACCTGGAGGAGACACACACACAATGGAAAGACCTTGCTTTTCAGTACCTGTTCCTTGGCTGAGTTCCTACAGGTGACTCCTTGGCATGATGGGTAGGCACCAGACATCCTGGATTCCATTAACATTCCGTGAAGGGAACCCCTTGAGTCAATGGCAAAGCACCAGACATCTGGGGCCCTGTTAACAAAAGTGGTCAGCTATGAAATGCTATCCCATCAGTCAGAAGTCAGTGTGAGCCCACTACCCTGTCCCTCCATGCCAGGTGTTTCTTGAAGGGCAGCCCTGTGAGGCTATGTACCCATCTGGGCAAGCAGAGAAGAGACTTCTTCAAATTTGGTGAGACTGCTGAGAGAGGAAGAGGAGAGAAATGTGAGACAGAAAGGGGTGATCAAGGAGGCCAAAGCAGATGGGAAGTCTCCTTGGTGCCCTGGACATGCGGTGTTGTTCCAGGACCTGCAACCTTAGAGGATGCTAAAAGGAAAATCATCCTCAGCAAGGTCATTTTCTCTCTCCAGAAAAACTCATTCCTATGTATCCCTTTGTCTACTCCCACCTCTTTGTCTTCTCCAATTTCTGCTTGCTATGTTTCTTTACTACTGACTGCTTTTTGTGTAACCTGCATTTGGAGGAAGAGACCTCATTTAGGGGTTATCTTCCACTTTAGAGTGAGCAGGGACAGTGGCTTTTATTCTGAACCCCTAAAAGAGAACATGGCAGCTAGGTGGGGCAGTGGATAGTGCCTGGAGTCAGGAAGACCTGAGTTCAAGTCTGGCCTCAGGCACTTACCAGTTGTGTGACCCTGGGCAAGTCAATTAACCCTGTAAGCCTCAGTTTCCTCACCTATAAAATGAGCTGGAGAAGGCAATGGCAAACCACTCCAGTATCTTTGCCAAGAAAACCACACATGGGAGTCAGATATAACTGAAAAGACCCAAAAACAAATCCTTACTGCAATATCAAGCCAGGGAAGGCTCTTCCAATTAGCTTAATGGCTAAGAGGAATTGGGGAGGGGGATAGAAGGAAGCCTGTGCCATCTCTACAGTATGGACAGTATTGCAAGAAACTTACTATACTTGAAGAATAAGCAAATGGGTCTTTCATAGTCTCCCAAATGAGCTTGGAAAGCTCCACATATTTAACCAAAGATACCAAGTATAGCCTGGACAACATACAAAATAGCGCCCCTCCCTTGCCCAACAGATAGTGATCTCCCATGGGGGAAGTCTGAAAACAAACCATTTCTATGTTAAAATCAAAGAATATCATGATTTTTAAATACTACTTACATGAACTGATGCTGAGTGAAGTGAGCAGAACCAGGAGAACAGTGTACACAGTAACAGCCACGTTGTGCAATGACCAGCTTTGATAGACTCAGCTCTTCTCAGCCATGCAATGGTCTAAGAAAATTACAAAACACTCATGATGGAAAATGCCATTCACATCCAGAGAAAGATCTGTGGAGTCTGAATGCAGATGGAAGCATATACTATTTTCTCTTTTTTGTTGTTGTTTTTTTTCTTGTGGTTTTTCTTTTCTGTTCTGATTCTTCTTTCACAACACGACCAATGTGGAAATATGTTTAACATGATTCTTCATGTATAACCTATATTAGAGTATTTGCTGTCTTGGGGAGGGGGGAGGGAAGGGAAGGAGGAAGAAAAATTTGGAGCTCAAAATCCTACAAAAATGGATGTTGAAAATTATCCTTACATGTAATTGGAAAAATATACTATTAAGTATTTTTTAAAAAATACTACTTATGCAGCCAAATCTCATTTCTGTAGTTTCCATGTTCCCTCCTGACACAATTATTCACAACAGGTAAAAAACAATAGGATAGACAGGAATGTGGGGAATATGTATAGGTATGTAAGCTCATGTGGAATCACACAATACTGAAATTACTGATTAAACAAATGATGAACAAATTAGCCTTTAAGAAGTAACTTGTACCTTGGCCTTGCACCCCATGAATACACCTTTGGTCTGTGGGCAACAAAGAGCTTACCAGTGAGGGGTTCTTAGGAAGTACCTACTGTGCCCAGGCAGTGCTAAGTGCTGGGGCTGCAAATAAAGTGATAGCCAGCATTTATAGAGCAGTGTAGGGTCTGTAAAGTGCTCTCTGAGTTAACTCATTTGATCCAAAGACAAAAATGAAACCGAACCACAAAGAACTTGCACAAAGCCCTTAGGAGGTGGCAGTTACTGGGCTGGATGCCGGGGATATAAAAAGGAACTAGACCTTGCCGTCAATGAGTTTATATTCTACTGGAAAAAAAATGATCAGCAAACACTTAAGCACCTACTATGTGCCAGTTACCGTATTAGGAAAGAGCCCTCGACTTCAAAGAACTTACATTCCATTGGGGGGAAATACATATAGGTGATGCATATTAATTGTGCAGAAGCAAATACAAATGAATACAAAGTCACTGGGGAGGGAAGGGAAGGCACAAGTAGCTGGGGGCGGGGGAGAGGGGAATCAGGAAACACTTCACATAGAAGGGTGCATTTAAACTGAGTGTAGAAAGAAATTAGGAGGTCTAAGAAGTCCACGTGAGGAGGGAGGGCATTCCAGGAATAGGGGACAGCCAGTGCAAAGGCTTGGAGATGGGAAATGGAATGACCTGCATGAGCAATAGGGAGGTCATCTCTACTGGACTGTAACTGTTGTCCTTCATGCTTGAAGGGGACCAATATGACATCACATCACTATATTGGGGTCAAGGTACAGCGTGTCTGACAGGCTGATCAGACCAATGTGAGCTCGGAGGGCTCTACCACAGGCTGGGCACAAATAATCCACATGAGCATTCGGGGTGGATTCTCTCAATCTGTGCACCTGACATCTCCTTTGAGCTGCAAGTCTGCTTCACTCACAGAGCACAGCGCCTTCTTTGATAGGGGTACGCAACACTGGGCAGTCCTGTGCTAGCGTCTCCCACGTCTCACAACTGATGCTCAAGTTCTTCAGAGAGACCTGGAGAGTGCCCTCGTACTGCTTCTTCGGGCCACCATGTGAGCTCTGGGTGTGCCTTGGGTGGGCTCTCCATAAAATCGTTTGGCATTTGAACCACATGGCCGGCCCACTGGAGTTGGGCTCTCTGCAGCAGAGTCTGAATGCTTGACAGTTTAGCTTGAGAAAGGGCTTCAGTGCCCAGTACCTTATCCTGCCAGGTGATCCTCAGAATCTTCCTAAGGCAATTCAAATGGAAGTGATCCATTTTCCTGGCGTGAATGGACCACGGAGAGCGTGAAGAGGAGGAATGTGCAACGAGGCTGGGAAAATGGGATGAAACGAGGTTGTGAAGGACTTTAAAGCCAGTTTTTATTGGATCCTAGAGCCCACAGGAGGCCACTATTGACAGACAGAGACTCGTGCTTGAGGAAGGCTCTTCGGCAGCCACGTGGAAGAGCATTGGAGCCTCTGATGGATCTGAGCCGTACGTGGCTCATGAAAAGGTGCCGAGCACAGATGCACTATGTGGACTGAGGCTCTTCAGCTAGAATCACATTTGGGACCAGGATCATAGAGAGCTGGACACTTCTGTTGGGATCATAGGATTTGGGAGCTGGAAGGGACCCTGGAAACCATCCGTCCCAGCCTTGCAGGGGTTAAATGATTTGCCCAAAGCTGTCACCAAGGTTGCAGAAAGGTTGCCACTGAGGCTATACAAAGCTGAGCCAGGAATATGCTTCCAATCTTACACAGGAGGAAACTTCATGATCTTATGCACACGCATACGTGTATCTATAATATACATACATTTTAAATGTGTATCCACGTATATATATATGACAATGATCATACTACACATTATCTACACACATTCTAGATGGGTCCTTGTTTGGTGTGTCTTCCTCAATTGCCAACATCTCCTTAATAGAATTGACTGAACCAAAGGTTAGTGCTCCAGTATCACTTAACCGATTAAAATCAACTCACTTTTACAAAGGGATACGGACAAAACTCAAGTACAAGCCGCCTGAACAGGAGGCATCCTCTCCCTCATCCACCACTGGATGGTAGGGGAGAGGTCGCTACAAAGGATTCCCTCCCACGCTGCCCTGTCCTGGCAACCCCAAGGTTGCTTCTGAATGGGACACGGCCGCTGGACATCAATCCAGAACCCAGTTGGCTGATTCCAGCCAACTTCACACAGACTACAAGGCCTGTCCCCATGGTTCTGAGATCCCCAGGTCATCACAGCCCTGGTCCATTCAGTCTCCCACACTCCACCAAGAATGGACACACAGGATAGAAGCAAGAGCATGGCCATGTGGACACTGTCCCAAGAATTGAGCTCTCACAGGTCAGTCCCAGATTACAGAGGAAATGACTTGCCCAAAGTCACACAGCCACCTAATGGCCCAGCTTCCAGCCCGGTGGCCTTGACCATCATCCTAGGGAGCAGCCCCTGGGAAGATGCCACCTGGGGAGGCTACTGTAGACGCAGAACAGCTAGGTCTTGCCACAAAGTCCTTGGTCTGTTGAATGGCTTGACATTAGAGACAGATGATTTTCTCAGTGGAAATGACAGGAGAGAAGAGGGGCTAACTAACATCCGCTATGCCACTGCCTCCTGAAGACCGTTCAGAGGGACTTCCCGATGTGTCATCTCTCTGGTCAGAAGGGCAGCTCCTTGAGAGCAGGGGCTCACACAGAGTAAGCACTTTTAGTCATTCATTCACAGTCCAGACTAAAACCCAGGAACACCAGACCATTGTCGCAGCTCATAACGGCGCCTTTCCCAGGTAAGCTTTGACTCAGGACTTCATTTTTTCTTGACTCCCAGAGTCCTTCAGTCAATAAGGCTTTATTAAGTTCCTGCCAGGTGAAAGGTGCTAGGGAAACAAAGGCAGACGGAATAGTCCCTGGCCTCCAGGGGCTTCCACTTTACCTACAATGCCATTGTCATTGTGAGGGCAGGAATCATCTCCAGCTTCTCTGAGGAGAGTGTATGTGGTATATGTGATGTGTACGTGTGTGAATCGGAGGTTGGGGGCAGAACAGGGTTGGGGGAAGGGAGCTTTTCGTCTGGTCTTCTCCTCTCCCCTGCTTAGACACAGCCAGTCACCTGACTGGCCAAAACCAGTTTCGTTCCAGACCTTTTGGCAACATGACAGAAGAAAACAAGAGGGAATCTGGGCCCCACCAAAGTCTGCCCCTGGAGTTCATGGTCAGCTCCCATCAGACCCTCAAAGCACTTGGAAAAGAACCAAGACAAATGGCTGCCCCGTGCCCAGAACTATTTTCTCTCTACACATAACATTTCCCTGTGTCAAACAGGGATAGCTGGGCCTCTGTCGAGATGTAAGCTCTCTTATCATTTTTTAAAAATTAGGTCTACAGGTATCATGTTTATATATCTTGCTTCCACAAATATGGAAAGACAAACAGAAAGGTTAGCAAGGTCTTAAGAGCTGAAAGCTGGCTATCCCATCAGTTCCCTTCATGACCTGAGAATAAACAATTTATGTGACTTACCACATGGGTTCCAAATGGACCAGTCCCTCCCCACACAAACCTGGTGACAAGCTCAGAGTATAGCCAATGATGATGGCCAATGGGCACTGGTGAAAATGGTACCCCTTTAGTTGTCTTCCCTTCCCCCCACAGTCAATCATTCATTAAGCCACAGCAGTAGGCTTTGGGAGGAGTAGGGAGCCAGGGATTTTTCCACTATGAAAGTGATAGACAAAATGCAGTGATGATAAAAATCATTAAAACAAATCTTTATTTGAAAGGCTCTTCATTGGCTCAGGGCCTGACAAGCACTACATCATGATGGACAAGGTATGATCATGGCCCAACTTGTTTGCCAGCTATCCCTAACCCTGAGCAGCAGGAAGGTGGCCAGGTGACGAGCTCTTTGGCCCCCTGCTACAGTCTACAAAGGCAGGAAAAGGCTGTAAGCTCATTACGTGCAGCTGAGTCCGTCCACAACACATCATGAAATGCCAACCGTGGAAAAGGCACTGGGTGAAATGCCGAGGATCCCAAGGAAAGAATGTCAGAGTGCCGGCACTCAAGGCACTTTCATTGTGTTGGAGGGAAATCACAGAGATGGTAACAAATAAAGAGAAAATAGAGGGGGCTCAGAAAAACACCAAGGACAAGAAGCTTGAGCTAAAGCTCAGAGGAGGTGGGGGTGAGGAGGGAGGGAACTCCAAGCTGGAGGATGGGTGCAGGGAGACCCATCGGGAAACTCTTCAGTTAGCGTAGGGGAGAACAGATAAAGATCTGAGCTTGGGCACAAGCCTTGGAGCGGACAGGAGGCAATGGACGCATGACATGTTATGGAGCTAAAACCAACAAGACATGACTGGAACACGAGGCTTGGAAGAGAACTTTAGAGTTCAAGAAGATTGCCAGCTGGTGAACCTGAGACAATAGAAAACACAGTGCTCTCCATAGAAATGGGAAGCACTTGAGAAAGAATATTTCTCAGTTCTAAAAGCCCTTTTCAGACTTGCCTACTCTCCACTCCCTCCCTTTGATCAAAGACAAAATGTCCTTTAGAAACATGGATTAAGGGTGGAAATTAAACTGAAACAAAGACATCATCTAGCCTGGTCTAGATCACTGCCTTCCCCAACCCCTTATGTGACTAGGCTATAGCTATTCTGAAACACTAATCTCAGATTGATAGAACTGTATGTTAAAAGGAGAATATAGTATTCATTTTTTTTTCTTCAACAGAGGAAAACCAAGTATGCGGAAGATGGGGACAATAATAAATTCCGCTTTAGACAAGCTGAGCTCAAGAGGCCTAAGAGACATCCAGTTGGGTATATCCAAGGGACTGGGGACTGGAGATACTGATCTGGAAGGCATCTTCATAGAGACAATGACTGAATCCCTAGAGTTTACAGAGATCACTGAGAGAAAAGAAGGCAGCCCAGCACAAAGCCTCAGGTCCCTAGAGTTGGGGCTTCAATTTGGAGGCTGATCAGGCCAAGGGCACTGAGAAGGAACAGAAGATATAGGAGGAGCGCCGAGTGGAGGGCAGCAGAAACCTCGAGACGATTCAGGAGGAGAATGGGACAGGAGGGTTAGAGTGAAGAGTGGCCAGACTACAGGGAAGAGGAAGATCCAGGATCAGGGGTCAACACTAGATGGAGGAAGTCCAGATTCTCGCCCACGACCCAGCTTTGACTTGCCAGAGCTCTCAAACACATCCAAGGGCCCAGAATTCTGTCTGTGTCATAAGGCACAAGGACTGACAGTTGGGGAAACTGAGGCCCAGGGTGTGTCCAAAGCTGCCCAGGGAGTAAGAGGCAAAGCCAGGGTGTGAACCTGGGTCCTGGGTCCACAACACCAGGATGCTTCTACAATCTCAGATAATGCATGTGTGCTTTTAAAGTCATTAATTTGTTTTTTATTTTAATGTATTATGTCCCCATAAAGACCCAGATACTTTGGGACCACTTCTCTCCTTAAGTACTGTTTATGGCAACAACAAAGATTACTGTTAAGAATACCTACGCCTTATCTCTCATCTTTGAAGGGCTGAAGTGATCCCATGTCTGGGAGCTTGACACTTTGCGTCTTTTTGTTGGGGAGGAAAAATCTCCTTTTGAGATGGCCCTGGGCAAGGCTGGGCAATGAAGCATGTTGACTGTTTCATACAGGGAGTACCTGGCAACGACCCGGGGGGAGGCTGCCTTCTGTGGCTCCTGGGGACCATCCCAGGGGCCTAAACCTTCCACAGAATCCCCGAATTTGCTCTGACTTAGCACTTTTGACTTCTGCCCTGATTTCTTAAGGAATAAAAGCTCCCGTGCCCACTGAGTTGTTTCTTGGGAGTATGTGTCAAACATGGAGTCTATCACATCTCGGGCTTTGCAGGGTATCTTCTCCATGCAAAAAGGCAAGGACTTTCTTGCCTTCGTAACCTTTCTAGGAACGCCAGTCTTTGGGCCCGTTTCAGAGGTATCAGAAGCTGAGTGCTCCTGAGAAAGCCTTTCATGGGACAGAGGAGAATTCTTGGGGGTCTGGAGCATCCTTGGCATCACCAGTGATCTGGACAGACACCTTTCCTGCCCCAACACATCTCTTCCAGGAACACCCTGCTGCAAAGGGCGGAACCTCTCCTTTGCACTTGGAGCAGGGGGCAGACACAATCTGGGTGTCGCTGGGGACCGGGACCCCATATGGCTCTGTAAGGAGCTGGGGCTTACTTGTCTCATGTCCCTGGGCCTGGAAGGAGAGTCCTGAGTGGAGCGGTTATGCAGTGTCACCTTCAGCGCCAGCGGGGAAGAACTGGTGGTTAACAATTCACTGTTGTTGACGATGGTGTCTGGTTCAATACAGGGTAAAAAGTTCTGCTTATAATCCTTTCTGCAAATTAAGCTATTTTTCTCACCTGGGATAATCTGGAATTTTTGACTAATCTTGAGAAAACTACTTTCCATGGTCAAAGTGATATTAAGCCTCCTCTTCTTTGGGAACCAGCCTTTGGAAGTATATTTATTGGTGGAAACGAGGCCCATCTTCTGAGAAGGGAGACATTTACTCAGTGAACATAACATTTCTGCATAGATGTCACTGAGTGTGAGGTTCTGGGCAGCTTCTTCACCTTCAAAAGCAGTGTCCCCTAAGGAGCCGCTCCTCCTGGCTCTCCAGGCTAACAAGCTTTGATTGGGAGGCACATGCAGCATGCTGGTGTCTGGGGGACCCTGGAAGGGTGAAGTTGGCTTAACTGGAATCCCATAATTCTCCCAGGGGCCATTACCACAGCAACCTGGGAACAAATGAAGACCAAATTAGATGAATGGAGAAGTATTTCCGTGCGCTATAGTGAATCCCGCTTTGTGGTCTTCCAGAGATGTGGCCCCAGGCCTTGAAGACTAGGCCACTGCGGCAGAAGGCCTGGCAGGTTCTCACACATGTCAAGGCTCTGAGGGCAGCCCTCTGCCATGCGTGGGGTGCTGCCCAAGGACCAGGCCCAGGATATTGGCTGCTGGGTGCAAATCCAGGGGCTCTCATGGTGCCCTACAGAGCTAAAAGCATCTCTCCATAGTGACTGGTGAAGTCCGAGCCCTTGTTCACAGCATGCCCACAATGGTTCAGAGAAGTGCTTTTAAAAGAAAGTGGGGCACTGCTCACTCACCAAAGATTTCTCTTTCTTTTTGCAATCTTTAGCCAGGGCTCCACCTGCATCAGTCCCAAAGCCCCAGGCCAAAGATGTGGGGCTGAGGAGTATGTTCCCACCCCCTGGCCCAGGACAGGGTGGGAAGAGACTCCTAGTGAGCCCCACCAAGGAACCCCCAAGCCTGGCCCCACAGGGTTTGTCCTGAAAATGTCTGGGCTAAGTGAGTCCAGCGGGAAACTGAGTAAACCCCACTGAGTGTCCAGATCACTCACCAAGTAAAGCTTTAGGCCTCCCTTTGGTTGAAAGGATCTTGGGAGTTTTTTGGGCCTTCTTCCTGCTGAAACTGTCAAACTGGAAATAAAACCAAAAGTTGGGATTTCAAACCACTGTGCAAGGCTTGAAGGATCTGGAAGCCCAGAGCTGGATCTGTGTGTTGGAAGCAGCCCCCAGGCTCAGGCTGTGTCTGGAAGAGCGCCCTTCCCTCCCAAGGGCTGCCCCTAGGCCTCTGATGGCATCCCACTCTAAGCAGCAGTGTGACCCTGCACACTCCTCTGTGAGTGCCCCCCCATCCTGTCTGCACCCCTCCCACGCTAGCCCAGGCTGAGGATCCTGGGAGATGACAGCTCCTGGAAGCACACGCGCACTCCTACTGATGGTCACCACTGCGCCTCCCACAGCGGTCCTCTCTAATCTGCTGTCCCTCCCCCTTCCTGCTCCAAGCTCTTCTCTGGCCTCAACAGGCAAGTCCAAAGCCTCCAGGCACTCAACAAGTCTTTTCTTTACCAGACTAAACATTCCCCACGATGCCAAGTGTTCTGCGTGAGGAGAGGTGGCAGCCAGAGTGAACAGAGGCCTGGATTTGGGAGTCAGAGAGACCCTAGTTCAAATCCCCCCTCACACTAGCTGTGTGAGACCCTCCCTGGGAGGGCCCTTTATTGCCTCAGTTTCTCCTCCTGTAAAATGGGGGCAGCAACCTTCACAGCACATAATGGGGGGGGCCGAGGGGCACATCCAAAGGGCGCCACCAAGCCCTGCTTTCCACCTGAAGGATCCGCGGACCCAGGATTCCTCATACATCAATTCAACCCTCACTGGGAGCCAGACCCACAACACCGACTTCTTTGTATAGTCATGTGCAGCCAGTGAACATGCCCCAACACTGCCTTGGCAACTGCCACTTCCAGGGCAGAATCACGCACAAGAGATGCTGAGAAACAATGAGCAGGATGAGGACTTCTAGAAGCACAGGAGGGCTGATGCACAGGCAAGTTCACAGAACCAGAAAAACCACCTGCTGTCAGCACCGCCGTGACCCAAACAGCACGCTCCACAAAAAGGCAATCTGGGAGTTACGCTGAGTAAGATGGTAAGACCCCTCCCCCACTGCCTTGGAGAGCTGGGGGACAGTGGGTGAGGGGCACGGGGAGAGGACGGAGGAAGTGGAGGGGAGAAGGCTCTATTGGGAAATGCAGGTGATGTAAAACAAAACGGATTACAACATTAACTTACCCTGACCATCTTGGGATGGTCATCTTCCAGGATCACATCCACTCGGGTCATGTACTTCTTGTCTAAATCACTTTCTGCAAGGCTTCGAAGGCTGTCATCCTAAGACCAGAAAAGGTGCTTAGAGAATTCAACCTCTTCTATGCTTGATCTACTCAACTGCACAGCTCATTAAAGGAAGAGCCTTTGAATGTAAGTGCCAAGTCCGCTAGGGACAAAGGGCTGACCCAATCGTATAGCCACAAGAATGCTAGCCTTCCCTCTTAGGAATACGGATGACCCCACTCCCCAGGCAGGCTTCACTCACTCCTTGGCTACCTCCCAGCCAGTAACCTTGCTGCCTGACCCAGAGCCCAAACCTGGAGGAGTTAACTCTTTCAGGTCAGGACCTCTCCACAGGGCCCCCCAGCCATCCCTGTGCCCACTGGTTCCAGAACCATAATCTATCAATATGCTGTCACTTCTGTCAAGGGCCTTCTATGGCCCCTCCTCATTCCAGTAACTTCACGCTCTATCTCCCCATTAGAACAAAAGCTCTTTGAGAGCAAAGCCTGTCTTCACTTTTGGATGAGCATGACCAGCCATCGGCATAGAGCCTGGCACAAGGTAAATACTTAACAATAAACGTCTTTTCATTTATTCACTGGTAAAGCGAGTGCCTCACGAGGATTCCCCACACCAGTGAGACCACAAGTCGAAATGGGAAAACCCTGTATCAAATGATAACATGTTGCTAGAAACTGCCAGCCATTAAAATCCTTCACATCTGGTGATCAAAAGAATCAAGGCAAGTGACAGTCTCTTGGTAACAAGCCTGTTATTCTTGCTCCAGCTCAGGTAGAAAGAGCTGCCACAGTGGTGGTCAGAAGACAGGACAGCTGTGGGTGGGAGGGAAAGGGGGGACTTGGACTGGGGGGTGGCACTGATAGGGCAAAGAGCCCTATCACTGATCGCCCACAGGGCCGAGCTTCCAGTGTTTGGGCAGGCCTCGCTTCATGCAAACCTCCTTCCCTCCAGCCCTAACCCAGCCTAATTCTAGAAAAATCAAAGAAAGCTATGACCAAGTAGGACTGGCTCTTACCTTCAAGCTGACATCGCTATTTCTTTGAACCAAAGATTCATCAACGCCATTGCTTTTAACATCTAAAAAAACAATTCCAATTGGAAATAGACTATTTGCTTTCCAGATCAGTTTTTAATCATTCCAAAGTCACACTGAACTTTCTCAGACAGTATCACCAATCGCTTCAGAAACATGCTAATAATACTCAGACATAATCATGGTTGTCTCATCAGCAAAACGAAAGCATCAGTCCAGGTGCCTGTGGTGAAATCGAAACCATCTCTTTATCAAAGGATAAAGCCAGTAGGTTTCAATTTATTGCAGTTCCTCTTACTAGCTGATTCCAAATTTTTTTGCTATAAGCAGCCTAAAAAATGTATGTTCTGAAGGGCATAGGAAATTCTCAAAATTAACAAAGTTAGAGTAATCTCAGGAAGAGTAATCGCAAGTGGGGCCCCATCTGGAGAGCTCTCACAAGGGATTTAATTTAACTTCAACATTTAACTAGCCTTACCAAGACCAAAGATTCAAATCCGGCTCCAGTCACTCACTAGCTGTGTGACTCTGGGCAAAGCGCTTAATCGTTGTCTGCCTCAGTTTTCTCATCTGTACAATGGGGATGATAACAACAACAACTCGCAGGGAGGTAGTGAAGATCAAACGAGGTAGTATGCGCGAAGCACTTAGCATGACACCTGGCACACAGTAGGTGCTGTCCAGGTGCTGGCTTTACTATGATTCGTGAAGACCAACTGACGTCCCAAGAACACGCCTGCTGTGGAAATGCTACCTGGGCTCATCCCACAGCTATGAAATTCGGGTCTATTTTTTTTTAATGGATTTCTGACACAGAAATAGATGCTGGTTGTTAGTTTTAAAAAGACCCCAATTTAGTACACCGAAGCTCTACCCCCAATGGGCACAAACACCCAGATGCCCCATATCACACATTAACAAACATTCAGAAAACCTTACTAAACAGACAAGCATCTTAGCTGTTCGGCTCACTTCAGACCTGAATACTCCTTTTACATCAGGGCTCTTATACAGGATTGTCTTACCTGTGAAAGTGCTTTGCATGTTATCCATACTATAGCCTTCCTTCTCCAGGGATAGCTTAAAATTTAAAAAAAAAGTATTGTCATTTCAAAATCTGGCTTTAAAACCACTCATTGTAACTGTATAAACAGCCAATAGTTTCCATTTTGAAAGGACATTGTCTCCTTGAGCCCTTTTCTCCTATAATATTCCTTTCAGACAAGCCCCAGGGTCTGGAACGATTAGTTCTGCCACAGTTGGCTAGGATGGCCTACTCTGGCCTTTGGGGTTTGCCTAAAGACATGAAGCTGGTCTTTCTGAAGCCTTCTGTAAAGGTTGACCATGATGCGCGGTAGTCAGAGGATCTGAGGATGGCCATCACTGGGCTCCCATCTTGGGCCTGTCACTTAGCCATTCACATTCCTCATTGACACTAGGGGCCCTATACCCCTCCACCCCCAGCACACAGCTGCCCTCCCTCTTCTCCCCTATCTGAGAGGGTGGAAGGTGGCCACATGTCCAGGGAGGCCCAACAGGGTCAAGGGGTTGTGGAGAAGGGAAGTCTCACTCTACGAGTGTCACCTTGGAGAAACGTACAGGTTTCTATCAAGCTAGAAATCTGAGACAAGAGGTTCAGTGCCAAGAGGAGCTGGGTGACTTTTGGCATGTCCCCCAGTAACCTCATCTGTCAATGTGCCCACGGGCCACAGAAGAGCTGAGGGGAATCCAGCTAGAATGTACCTTCACTGCTATTTATTAACTGCTCTGCACTGAGTCCTCCTCCCTGGACACTCTCTGGCCTGGCAGGCTCATCCACTCCCAGGGGCTCAATCACCATCTCTGGGCAGATGATTGGCAGTATCTCTGCCCCCCAACCCCTATCCCAAGTGTCTCCAAAGTATCTGAGCAGTCTTAAGCTTCGGTAGCTTAAACTTAGCTTTAACCTGCACCCAAACCCTCCCCTGTCCCGTCTTCTCATACCGATGGTGCCCAGGCTCCCAACCTTGGCACCTTCCCTGTCTGGTCCCTCCTCCTTGCCCTGCAGACCCGATCTGCTGCTAACTCTTGTTCCCCCTTCCTGGGGCAGGAAGTCTCCTCCTCTCCCCTAGATGGGCACCCTAGCACCAGGGCTCGTCCCATCCCAGTCGGCCAGCCGGTCAGTGGCCAAAGGGCAGCTTTGACACATCACTTCCCTCAATAACTCCAGTGACCTTTAGCACCAAACTGAAAGTCTAGGTTGAAAGCCCTCCATTGCTGCCCTTCTGACCTTCCCCTCTTCTCACACTTGACTGTCTTCTAGACACTGGGCACAGTGGGACCATTGGCCTCCTTTGGGATCCTCCCCTCTACCGTGAGACCTGAGGTACTGGTAAGGCCAGTACCCAGGGTCTGGAAGGCTCTCTCCCTCCTGGCTTTTTGGGCCCTAAGACTCAGTTTGAATTTGGCATCCCCAGCTGCTCGGGCCTTCCCTCTGAAACTAGCTTCCACTTACACTCTATTTCTATTTCCTGTGCCCTATCCCTCCATAGACTGGAAGCTCCTTGCAGGCAGGGGCCTTTCTTTGTGTTCCTGTGCTTGGCACGGGCCTGGCTACTAGAAGACACTATTTCCAAGAATGTTGTCTTATTATTGGACGGCACGTAATCCTTATTTCTGTAGAGGAGGCCACGCTGGGCACAGGGCAGGTACAAGCTAAGCTCTCATGACAGACAGGGAGGCCAAGACCAGACACCAGCCTGTGCACTGAGACGTCCTGGGCCATCCAGTGAGCACATTTGTGCAAAGGCTGAATGTCAGGTTTGGTAGGATGGCACAGTAGGAAAAACAGCAGACCAGAGGTCATTCAGGAGTCCAAGGGTCAAGTCCTGCATGGCACCGGCGCCTCTTCCTCTTCACCCCCCGCCATCCCCCACTAGAAGCTGTGTGTGACCACGTACAACTCTGGCCTTAGTTTACCCATCTAAAGAACCAAGAAGCTGGTTCTGATGCTCTTAGATCTTGGCTGGGCCCCCTGGAGCATCCTGGGATTTGTGGGCTGGGAGGGGCCTTGGAAGTAACTAGTTTAGCTCAAGTGTTGTAGACATGAGGAAAGACAGGCTGTATACAGGAGGGGGCGGCAGTCAGGGTGGGAACCAAGGCCTTTTAGGAGGAGAACAGTGACAAACATCATCTCGTTTGACCCTCAAACCTCCCAGGAGGGAGGCAGGTGCTGCTGCCATCGCATTTCAGAGAGGAGGCTCAGAGAGTTTCAGTGACTTGCCCAGGGTCACACAGCTAACAGGAGTCTGAGACCAGAGATGACTTCAGGTCTTCCTGACTTCAGACCTAGAGCTCTATTTAATGCCCCCACAATGACGTGGTTCCTGAAAAAGCTCAAAAATAAAAAAGGCAGGTTAAGACTGCTTCCAAATGCACAGGGCTCTTCCTGAATGCGTAAATTACTTGTACAGATTACTTGTTGATTATGACAGGTGCGAACGCTCACACTTAACATAGGTTAGCATGCATGTGACAGTGCTGTTTCTTAAGAAGAAGGCATTTCGCTTGTGAACTCTGCTTTAAACAAGTACCTGGACACTTTGGAAGATTTCTTGGGTTACGATTCTTCCACCCCATACTCTCAGCCCTTGGAGAAAGAAAAAAAGTTAGCACACAAAAAAAGCACAACTTAAATACTTAACTCATTTTCACCTTGTCTTTACACACAACCTGAATCTGTTTAGCTAGTAAATCTGGGGAGGTCTCACAAAAGAAAGAGCAGACTTTTCTTGGTAGCCAAGAATGGGAAACTGAAGGGATGCCCATCCACTGGAGAATGGCTGAACAAGCTGTGGTATATGAATGGAATGGAATACTATTGTGCTATGAGAAATGATGAACAGGCAGATTTCTGGAAAGATCCGTATGAACTGATGCAAAGTGAAATGAACAGAACCAGGAAAACACTGTGCACAGTAACAGCAACATTATGTAATGATCAACTATGACTGACTTTGCTCTTTTCAGCAATGCAATGATCCAAGACAATTACCAAAGACTCATGATGGAAAATGCTGCCCACCTCCAGAGAAAGAACTGACGGAGAATGAATGCAGATCAAAGCACACTATTTTCTCTTTATTTTTTTCATGGTGTTTTTCCTTTTGATCTGTTTCTTCTTACACAAGTGTGACTAATATGGAAACATGGTTTACATGCTTGCACATATATAACCTATATCAAATTGCTTACTGTTTCAGGAAGAGGAGAAGGAAACGAGGGAAAAAATTTTGGAACTAAAAATTTTGTAAAAATGAATGCTAAAAATTATCTTTACGTATAACTGGGGGGAAATGTTATTTTAAAAAAAGGAAGGAAGAAAGAAATAGCAGAGCTGACCAACAAGCCAAGGGGCTTTTGGGTTCCAGATCAAAGAGAGGAAAGGAAGCTCCATTATGGGACCCCAAGAAAGCACTGAAGACAACCCCTCTCCCCATCACTCTATTTCTTTTTTTTTTTAACTTAAGAATTCTGAACTTGGGAGCAGCTAGCTGGTACAGTGGATACAGCACTGATCCTGGAGTCCGGAGGACCTGAGTTCCAATCCAGCCTCAGACACTTGACACTAGCTGTGTGACACTGGGCAAGTCACTTAACCCCATTGCCTAGCCAAAAAAAAAAAAAAAAAGAAAAAAGAAAAAAATATATTTTGGTGGTTACATTTCAATAAAATGGGTTTCTTTTATAATCCTATGCATTTTATTTACTGTACTGAAAAATGTGATTCTGCAACAGGCCCAAGGTATCAGCGGCTGGCTGCCCCAGGGGTACAGGACCTACTAAGGGGACACGGGAAGCCCTAGGCTTAGCCACGCTAGCTTTCTGTGGCAGCGCTGCCTCCCCCCATTCAGGGCTCCTCATCTCTCCGGCATGACGGCAAATCCCCCAAAGCTTCCAACTCAAAGCCCCACTCTGCCCATGTCACTCTCCACACCCTCCCTCCCAAGTCTCCCATGGTTCCCTGCACTGCTCCCTGCCTGGCGCTGAACATCCTCCATAACACGGCTCTCCTGAAACTGGCTTGCCAGTGGCTTTCTAGACACAGTCTCCTGCCTCCAGGTCCCCCGTGTGCTCCTTCCTCACTGCCTCCTTCCTAAGGCTCTTCCACTCCTCTGAGTTGTCGAGGTACTTTATATGAGTCTGCACACGTGTGGTGTCCCTCTTCCATCCAGAATGGAAGTTTCCTGAGATCCCCAGGCCCTCCACATAGGACTGATAGCCACCCTTCACAGAGCACTCCGAAATTTGCAAAGCACTTGATGTACGGTAGCTCCCTAGATCCTCCTAACAAACTTGGGAGGGGGGGCAGCTGAGATCCCCATGTTACAGTTGAGGAAACTGAGGCACAGAGCAGCTCAGTGACTTGCCCGGAGTCTAACAACTGTCTCCAGCCCAGAGTGGGCACTTCATGTTTGTTGGTGGGATATTCAGATGGCCTTGCCTTGCAGGCAATTAGTGGGGTGGGTCTGGGAGGGGGCACAGTGAGGAAAGAGGGCCAAGCACACCTCCACCTCGGTCAGGAAGAAGAAGAGAATGAGCCAGAGGAGGACAGGTTAGAAGGTAGGAGAACCAGGAGAGAAGTGACTCTGAAACCAAGAGGGAAGAGCAGGACAGAGTGGGCTGGGGGGCACAGGGTCAAGGCAGGGGAGGGCTGAGAAAAGGCTGCTGGATGGGCCAGCTTGGGTGAGAACAGAGGCCAGGGGCATCAGAGGACCAGGAGAGGGGCCCTCTACCAAGGGCTTAAAGACAGTGGGGAGTTGTGACGAAGCATTAGGAAACGTAAATGGTAAAGATGCAGATGTGAGATGGGAGGGGGCAGAAAGGGAGCAGGGAAGTTGCCCTCCAGGCCTGGGCAGACCTGAGCAGCTGGCAGAGACAGAGGAAAGAGAGACAGGCTCCTCAAGACAATGCGAGTCACACAGCCGAAGGCTGGGCCAGCACAGCACTGGGCCACCAGTGAGGATAGGGAACTGCCCAGCAGCTGCGCCAATCCCAAAGGGAGGAGCAGACTCGAGAGCGTAGGGGGAGCTGTGTGGGGGAAGCTTCGTCCAGCCACTGATGGGGCTGGAAGAAAGGAAAGGGAGAAGGTAACGGGGTTGAGAAGCTTTGAGAGCCCACCATGAGTCAGTGAGGTGGGAGCTTGCAAAGGTCCTGGGCACCTGGTCTCCTTCCAGAGCCCCAGACCTGCATCTCCAACCACGCATCCAAGAGGACTCGTTATCCCAGGATCTGGAGGGGACCTTGTACCTTGTAGTCATCTCATCCAGCCCCCCGATTTACAGATGGGGAAACTGAGGCCCGGGGAGGTTATAAAGCACAAAGCTGCAAGGCTGGGCTCCTCCTCTTCTTCCTAACTCCTCTGTTTCTCTGGATGGCACAACTCTGCTTCCAGGTAAGCAGTCTCCCAACCCGGCCAATTGCCGACTGGACCTTCACCATCTCTCTCCAGGGCCCCACCCCATTTCAGGCCCTCCTCCCCTCTTGCCTCTTAATTGGCCTCCCTGCCTCCAATCCAGCCTCCACCCATCTGTCAAACTGGCATTCTTACCTCCCTGCCCATTAAGCTTTGGGGGCTCTCTCTCGCCTCTTGGACAAAACCCAGTCTCTTCTTTTGACTTTGAAAGCCCTTCACAAGCTGGCTGCAGCTGATCTTGCTCACCTTACTGGCCATTACTGCTAGCCCATGATATTGATCTCCCATCACCAAGCCTTTGAACTTACTGAGCCTGTCCCCCTCCTGCCTGAAATGCAGCCCCTTTTAACCGGTCTAGTAGCAGAATCCCATGTCTCCTTCAAAGCTCAGCTCAGGGGCCAGCTCCTACAGGATCCCTGTCCTGATGCCCGGCTTGCTCCCGCTGCCCATTCTTTGGCTTGTATCAGACATTTAATGGTCTTATGTACATACTGACTGTCCCCCCCCTTCCCCCTAAAGTAAGCTGGGAAGGACAGGGCAGGGAAGGGTTCATTGTTTTGGCAAGGATCCCAGCTCTTCAGACAGAGCAATAAAGACAGAGCTTAATAAATATTCAATTGATATGCTGTTTTTATCCTCCAGGAGAATGTAAGCTCCCTGAGGCCAGGGCCAGCTTATCCCAGAATTTGCCAGGGGCTTCCAAAGATGATTAACAGTCAGAAAGAATAAAAAGATGGCACCAGAGGTGAGGGATGAATGGGAAACAAAAGAAGGTGAGAGGAGGAGGGGCTGGAGGGGCAGGAGGGCCCAGCTGAGGGGAGGGGTGAAATCAGCAGGATTCCATCCTAGGCTCTTTGAGGGCAGGGTCTCTTTCCGTATCTCCACGGCTTAGCAGGGTGGCACACAGTAGGTACTTAGTGACTGTTTGCTGACTGACTTTGTGCTTTGAAGATGGCCTGGGTTATAAGGGAGCCCCACAGTAACCCTAACTGCTTTACCACCCCACCAATCTACACTTCGATTCTCCTACAGGACACACAATTTCTTCCCTTGGAAAGGGAATATTTCTTCATCTTACTCATCAAACCCGTGTGAATACATGGCTGAACTTACCAGATGGCGTCTCGTAGGTCAATGTCGCAATATGCACCAGTCTGTCTTCTTCAAAGGGACGGTCATACTGTGGACAGACAAAGACGCTTTTAGATGCTCTCGGATTGCGTAGTGAAGACATCACCTGGCCTACAGGGTTAAGGCCACACTTCACGGAAGCCCAGGGGCTCCCACTGACCGGCCTCCCAACACTCATTACCATCCATTACTCATTACCATAATCAGGGAATTCAGCACAGAGGTGGGGGTGGAGGTGCAGAGGAGGTTCTACAGGCAGAGGAAAAAAGGGGAGCATAGAGAAGGGGGCACCCGGAGGAGAGAGGTCAACAGGGGGTGACTGAGGAAAAGGGAGCACTTATAGGGAGGGGTGCATGGGGGAGGGGAGATCATCCAGGAGGACCATTCCCAGGGGAGCTGCGGGTTCATGAGGAAGGCACCCAAGAAAGAAGGAATTGGGTGGGGAACGACACCATTGGACAGTCACAGGGTGTATAGGCAATGAGGGAAAGTCACCCACTAGGGAGCTGGGGGGAGACACGCGGGATCCAGGCAACCCCTGGGAAGGTAGCACCCACAGGGGCGGTATATGGAGTAGATAGGGGTACCGCTAGGGAAGTGGCACCCACGGGGGTCACGGAGCAGGGCCCATGGGGGTATCGTAGGGGGGTCACGGGGTTCCATGGAGGCAGAGCACCCACGAGGGATGGGGAGCTCTTGGGGGGTGCAAGGGGGTGGGGCATCCACAGGGGATCACCGGGGGTATTCGTGGGGGTAGAGCTCCCACAAAGGGGGGAGGCTCACGGGGCCCTCAGGAAGGAGGGATGGGGGCCTTATGGGGAGTCCAGGGGGGGTGGGGTATCCACAGGGGAGCACCAGGGGTATTTGTGAGGGCGGGGCACCCCGAAGGGTGGGGGGGGAAGTTCACGGGGTCCCACGGGGACGGGGCACTCATGGATGGAGGTCACGGGGCGGGGTATCTACAGAGGAGCACCGGGGGGGGGGTTCATGTACTCGTGGGGGTCACGGGAGCAGGGCACCCGGGGGGGCGGGGCACCTCGGGGGGGCGAGGGCTCTGCCTGTACTCACCTTGGCCACCAGGGTCCCCATGACGCTGGCGAACCGCCGGTTGCTGGCCTGCAGCTTCTCGAGGAGGCGCCGGCGCTGCCGCTCCTGCTGCCTGCTGCCTGTGCCCACCATGCCTGGCCAGGGGCGCCGCCACCGCGGGAGCGGGGTCCCAAAGCTTGGCCCCGCCCCACCAGCCACCATGGGGCGAAGCCGACCCGCTCATCTTCCCGATCCGCCGCTCTCATTGGCGAGACTCCGCTCCCCGCCTCCTCCGTCGAGTCGTGTGACTCCATTGGGCAGCGCCGGTGGATATCCCGCCCCCTGAGAGACAACTAGAGGCTCATTGGTCCTTTTAAATTTGTTGACGCATCCCCACCCATTCCAACGGTCGGAGAGCTCGGCCTCTCCAGAAGAACGGGGTTCTTAGCCCCGCCCCAAGCTGGGCGTGGGGCGGAGCCTCCGGCCAAGGTCACGGGACCGACTGTCTACTTCCTCTGACACTCCCACTTCACCGCCCCTCCCTCTCCCGATGCATCTGTTAACTGTGGCGGCGTGGGGCCGGGGGTGGGGCCGTCGGGGGAGGGCCTTGAGGGGGAAGCCAGAGGGCCCAGGTTCAAGTGCTACCAATTCCCGCCAAAGCCTAGTTCAGTTCCTGCCTCTGGGACCTTGGGAGGCAGCTGGTGCAGGGCACCTCTCTCCCCCTCTCCCCTCTGTCCCTCTCTCTCCTCTCTCTCTCCCTTTCTCTCTGTCTCTGTACCCCCTCTGTTTCTGTCTCTCTGTTCCTCTCTTCTCTCTCTCTCTGTCTCTTTGTCTCTTGCTCTCCCTTTCTTTCTGTTTCTCTGTCTCCCCCTCTGTTTCTCTCTCTTTCTCTGTGTGTGTGTCTCTCTTTGTCTTTCTTTCTCTGTCTCTTTGTCTCTCTCCCTTTCTCTCCTGCCTCTCCCTGTGTCTCTGTTTCTCTCCACTGTCTTTCTCTCTCTTTGTCTCTGTGTCTGTCTCTCTGTCTCTCTGTCTCTCCTCTCCCCTTCCCTCTCTCCTTCTCTAGATGATATTTGTAACTCATTAGACCTTTCTCATTATTAGGGTAGTTGGAGATTAATATGAAGGGATGATATCTTAAAAATAAAAAATAAAATTAAAGGGTGAGAGAGGAATGTACTGGGAGAAGGAGAAAGGGAGAGGTAGAATGGGGTAAATTATCTCATATAAAAGAGGCAAGAAAATGCTTTTACACTGGAGGAGAAGAGGGTGGAGGTGAGAAGGAATGAGTGAACTTTACTCTCATCAGATTTGGCTTAAGAAGGGAATAACATACACATTCAATTGGTTATGGAAATCTATCTTACCCTACAGGAAAATAGAGGGGGGGAAGGGGACAAGAGAGGGAGAGGTGATAGGAGGGGCAGATTGGGGGAGGGGGTAATCAGAAGCTAACACTTTTGAGGAGGGTCAGAATCAAAGGAGAGGAATAATGGAATAAATAGGGGGTGGGATAGGATGGAGGGAAATATAGTCTTTCACAACATGACTATTATGTTTTGGGTGACTACACGTGTATGGCCTATATCAAATTGCTTGCCTTCTCAATGAGGGTGGGTAGGGAGGGAGGAAGAAAGAGAATGAATGTTAACAATTGTTTTTACATGCAACTGGGAAATAAGATACATAAGCAGTAGGGTATAGAAATCTATCTTATCCCACAGGAAAATAAAAGGGGAAAGGGATAAGAGAAGGGGGCAGTGATAGAAGGGAGGACCAATTGGAGGAAGGGTAATCAGAATGCACACCACTATGGGGTGGGGGGAGGAGAGAAATGGGGAGAAAATTTGGAACTCAAAATCTTGTGGAAGTGAATGTTCAAAACTAAAAATAAATAAATTGGAAAAAAAATCTAAAAAAAAAAGAAATAGTCCCTCCCCTCTGGGAGCTTATACTCTACTTGGGGAATCCAATTTGTATACACAGATCTGATCCAAGGTAAGGAATTGCAGGGGCAAAGGAGGGAGCCAGGCAATGTGCTGTATCAGCAGGGGAGGAGCCAGAAAACTCTAGCTATAAAGATCAGGCCAACTTCCTGGAGGAGGTTACCTCCTAACTGAGCCTTGAAGGCAGAGGATTCTGGAAGAGAGAGATGGTGAAGCCCCATGGGCTTCCAGCTCCCTTTCCAATCACTTACAGGTTAGTTTGTTTTTTGAAACATTCACGTGGTGCTTTATAGTCTCCCAAAGCACCTCATTCACCTCCTTTGACCCTTGCAACATGCCCCCACCCCACCCAGAGGCTTCTTTCTCCAGGCTGAATAGCTTCATTTCTTTCAACAAGGTTTCCTATTGCAGGGGCCCGAGGCCCTTCCCCATCCTGACTGCTCTCTTCTCCCACTGACCAGCCAGGTTCCCAGAGGGCACTTGACTTCTCAAAGGATTCTATCAACAGCTAACCCTCAGAGGCCAGGATATTCTTGTACTGTGGTTCATGAGCACCCTCTATACAATATGCTCTCCAATAATAATTAACCAGTTGGCACAATTTGCTTTTACAAAAGAGTATTTATTTACTGATGTATAACTGAAAGATCCGTTAAAACCAGGAATGTTCTTCCTCTTGAATACACAAAGTCCTTCTGGGGGAGCAGGTTCAAACTTAAAGTAACAGGTAGTCAGGCTCATGTATAGCAAACATGTGGACCTGAGGTGGACCTCCTGATTCATGGCCTTAGCAGCCCTCTTGCCTCTTCCCAGAGGCCTCTCCGAGGTCACTGGGGGGTACAGCACTGTGATAGATAAGTTGCTTCCTCACTTAGAAGGGCTTGCTGTTTCCAGGACAAGGAGTCTCAGCTGCTGGGGCAACCCACAGCTGGTTTGAGTCAAACTGCTCAGTTGCTGTGCTGACTATGCAGTAAATTAATTTGCTTTCATTAATTATAACAATAATAACTTTTACACAGCACCTACTCTGTGTCAGGCAATGTGCTAAGCCCTTTAAAAATATCTCATTCAATCCTCACAACAACCATGAGAGGTAGGTACTGTTAGCTCCATTTCACAGATAAAGAAACTGAGACAAACCAGAGGTTAAGTGACTTGCCTGGGGTCACACAGCTAGTAAGTGTTTGAGGCTGGATTTGAATTCAGGTCCTCCTGACTCCAGGCCTAGTATTCTCTCTACTGTGACAGACACCTAGCTGTCCCAGCTTTTACCAACTTTGATGGTCTCTGTTGCCAATTCCAATTACTGAGGGGCCCCTGATGTTTCTTTTGACCTCAGAAGGTTATAACTGGGTCAATTCTATCTTTAATTACTCTTTAATCTAAGATCAGGAAAGAATAAATAAAAAAGGAGAGATGAAAAAAAACCAGAGGTGTCATGTGTTTATGGACACATGGCAGCCAGGTGAGAGACAGGGCCCACTACTCCTCCCCTCCCCAGCAGCTCACAAAAGTCCTCCTCACTTGAAAGCCATCAATGAAGAGAGCAGGATATCAGATCATGGGCTCAAATCTTTTCTATGCGCACTCAATTCTGATTCATCTTTCCTTCCAGTGCCTCAGCCTACCAGAAGATTTCATCTTTCCACAATACCATAATCACACATGGTCCGAAGAAGTTTCACCAAGGGCAAAGAATTGGACATTGATGGGATGCCCATCAATTGGAGAACGGCTGAACTAGTTGTGGTATATGAATGTCATGGAATACTGTTGTGCTATAAAAAATGATGAGCAGGTCGATTTCAGAAAAACCTGGGAAGACTTGTATGGACTGATGCTGACTGAAGTGAGCAGAACCAGGAGAACACTGTACACAGTAACAGCCATGTTGCGTGATGACTAACTTTGATAGACTTAGCTCATCTCAGAAATGTAAGGCTCTAAGGCATCTCCAAAAGTCTTGTGATGGGAAATGCTATCCACGTCCAGAGAAAGAACTGTGGAGTTTGAATGCAGATAGAAGCAGAACATTTACTCTTTTCCCCCTTCTGTTTTGTTTTGTTTCTTCTTTCTTGTGGTTCCTTCTATTGGTTCTAATTCTTCTTTACAAAATGACTAGTGTGAAAGTATGTTTTATAGGAATGTATATGAAGAGTCTATATCAGATTCCATGCCATCTTGGGGAGGGAGAGGGAGAAGGAGAAAATACAAAACTCAAAAGCTTATGGAAGTGATTGTTGAAAACTAAAAATGAATTAATTAATTTAAAAAAAAAAAGAAGATTCACCAAGCTTTCACATGCTGGATTGAAATTATATAGGGAATATTATCAGTTTAGGTTTTTCCTCACTCTTTTAAAATATTAGATCAACCATTTACCTATTTCTCCCCCTCCTCTGCCAAAAATAAAATAAAAACCAGCTCCTAATTTTATTAATCAATGTATTCTGTTTTTGCTTTTAATTTTGATAATCTCTTCTTTAATATTCAGGCTCTCTATTTTGGTGTTTACTTGAGGGTTTTTTACTGATTTTTTTTTCATTTTAAAGTTGCATGCTTGATTTATTGATCTATTCTTTCTCTCCTTTGCCAAAGAAAGTGTTTAGAGATATAAATTTTCCTCTAGGCACTGCTTTGGCTGTATCCAAAGAGGTTTGGTTTATTATCTCATAGTTATCATTTTCTTTGATGAAATTATCTATTATTTCTGCTTTTTTTCCCCCTTTCACTCATCAGTTCTTTAGAATTTTTTTTTTGTTTTTAGTTCCAGTTTGAATCTCTTTTTCAAAGGTCCTTTATTGATTATAATTTTTAAAGAATTGTGGTTAGTGAAAGATGTTTAATTGTTTATGAGGTTTTCATGCCCTAGCATATGGACAATTTATGTAAAGGTTCCATTCCCAACTTAAAACATGTATACTCCTTTTTATTCCATTCAGCAATCACCAGACTTCTAAGCATATCTAGACTTTCTAAAATTCATGTTCTTAACTTTTTTCTTTTTTACTGTTTTGTTAGATTTTTCTTTGTCTGAAAGGGTTAAGATCTTTAGCTATTGAGGTTTGCTATTTCTCTCTGTAATTTGTTTAATTTTCCTTTAAGTACATAGATGCCATGCAATTAAATGTATACACACACGTCTATATGTATGTATCACACAGATCTTAACTGTTAAGATGTAGAGCAGGGCAAGCTACAGTTATCTCTGGAGCATCTCTAGTTCGAATGTGGCCAGGCTTCTCAGTCACTTACTTGAACTTGCTTGGGCTTGCCTGGTAGAAGGAACCCATCCCCTGG